GATAACTCACTGAAAATGTTGAGACAGTGTGTGACTGCAATAAAGAAGGCCAATGCTATGCTGGGGATTATTAGGAAGGGTATTGAAAACAGATCAGCCAATATAATAATGCCCCTATATAAATCAATGGTGAGACCTCATTTGGAATACTGTGTGCAGTTCTGGTCACCACACCTTAAAAAGGATATTGTAGCTTTGGAAAAAGTGCAGAAAAGGGCAACTCGAATGATAATAGGGTTGGAACACTTTCCCTATGAGGAAAGGTTAAAGCGCTTAGAGCTCTTTAGCTTGGAGAAATGACGACCAAGGGGTGACATGATTGAGGTTTATAAGATTATGCTTGAGATAGAGCAGGTAGAGAAAGAGGTACTTTTCTCCCTTTCTCACAATACAAGAACTCGTGGGCACTCCATGAAATTGCTGAGCGGTCAGGTTAGAATGGATAAAAGGAAGTACTTCTTCACCCAAAGAGTGATTAACACGTGGAATTCACTGCCACAGGAAGTGGTGGTGGCTACAAGCATGGACGGCTTCAAAAGGGAATTAGATAAGCATATGGAGCAGAGGTCCATCAGTGGCTATTAGCCACAAGGTATAGATAGGGGCTCTGGGGCAAGTGATGCGCTGTCTTCTTGGTGCTTGGGGGGAGTCAACAGTGGGAGGGCTTCTAATGTCCTGGCCCCACTGGTGGACCTCCTGATGGCACCTGGTATTTCTGGCCACTGTGTGACACAGAGTGTTGGACTGGATGGGCCTTTGGCCTGATCCAACATCGGCGTCTCTTATATTCTTATGTAACAAGTTAACTGTTTTTTAGGATCATGGAAATACATACATAATTGTGAGTGGGCAAAATCTTGAAACCCAGAACTGATCTGTCTCAGATTTTGAATTCTGTACTTATGTGGCAGATGACAGTAGAATACTATATGTTAGGGAATACAGTCTGGGAACAGAATCACAATGACTTCTAAGGTTTAGAAGATATTCCAGATGCATATTCTTCCCAAGGTGTGGAGTTTGATGCTTGTGGCACATAGGCAACAGAATGGAAACATTTAGTATCCTCACTGTTTACTGACAATAATTCTGCAAGGACTCCATGTATGCCTCCACATACTTTACCCTAATCTAAGCAACAAAATAAAACAGGAGTTCAGTGGCAGCTTAACGACCACAGAATAAATTCTGTTACTCTGTAGTAGAAGTGTGCAAAAACAAACAAACTCTTTTTTGTGATTCAGGTCTACTGAACCTGAATAATATCAGTATTCAGAATATTCCCAAATACCAATATTGGTTTTCTACTGGGATTCGGGTAAATATTCGGGAACCCCAAAATTATTCGGCTCCATTATACCCAATGAGGACCATCCCTACAGGTTCTAATGAAGAAGGGATTTAAAGTTTAAATGCTTGCTGAGTTCACTCACCGAGTCGTGTCATGGTGATGGCGTGACTCTGTAAGGGAACTCAACAAACATTTAACCTTTATACCCCTTCTGAGTTCACTTGCCAAGTCACGCCGCAGTGGTGGTGCAATTCGGCGAGTGAACTCAGAAGGCATATAAAGAGACCTCAGTCTCTTTAAATGCCTTCTAGCCATGCCTGAATAAAAGCCGAATAATATTGGATTTTATTTGGGTGCAGCTATTTTGGTAGCTGAATACTGATCTCTGATCTGTATTTATTCAGCTTGGAATATACAGAGCGCACACCTCTAGTCTTCAATGTTCCCTCTAAGCTGAGTTGGTGTGAGCTAGCTCACAGTATTTTAGCCTCCGGCTCTCACATTTTTGTCTCAGGAAGGAGGGCTCCAGATTAAGCTAATTTATGCAGGAGCCAAACCGCTCGCTCACAGCTTTAATGCCAGTAGCTCACAAAGTAGGATTTTTGCTCACAAGACTCGACAGCTTAAAGGGAGCATTGCTAGTCTCTAGGGTGCCTCGGGCTCTTGTTTTACTTTGCTGTTACAGATGATCATAGCTACCCATCTGAAATTATACTCAACTATGCACTTTCTGCTATTACTCTCTGGCCAGTCACAACAGTATATAGAATGCACTATTCTCAGATTCATAAATGATGCTTTGTTGAACCACAATTCAGAGTAACACAAAAATTAGCTATAACAGCAGATTTGAACTACCATTATGGTACACATTTGGTAAGTTTAAAAAACCCAGAACTCCTGCCCTATATAGAAAATATGGATTAAAATCTGATCAGCGGTGTGTGGGGGTGTATCTAACCTGTTTTCCTGATCTTGTTCAGAAGTGCTCAGTGAAGGTTCTGATTGGTTAGATTTGCCAGAAGTAGCTGTGGCAAATTGCTGCTGATCTTCATGCTCCTTTTGTAAACAGCTACTGTATCTTGCCTTCTCCACAGCAGGCTCAAAGTCCTGTCTTTTGGCTTTGCTCAAGTCCAAATCTGGGGGCATCTAGCAAAAGAAATGAAACAAAAAGCCATTTAGTACCCAGAGAAACTTAAGAATGTAATAGAAGCATTTCACAGACTCCTGATCTGTCAAGCTGCCCAGGAGACAAATTGCTTTCCTGGCAGCCTTTGCCCATTCCATCCAGCATGTAGTTTTTAGCCCTGCATTGTGAATCAGACGAATGTGGTTATTTGACTAATGTAAGAGTGATTTCAGTAATGCTTAGTAACCAATGCCCCCTCTGTTGAAATGCACTTTATGGATCATCTTTGGTTTCTTTTGATTTTTAGTGACAATGACATTTTAAAAAAGAGCCTACCTATTCTCTTTAACACAGAAAGAGGAAACCCACAGATTAACATGGTTAAGTGTGCTTTGGAAATCAGTTAAGGCGATAATTTGAGCTAATCTGCAGTTCTCTCCCCAGTGCCCACAAGCATATGCTGCCCCTCTCTGATGAAAGGCCAATTAGGAGGCAAGCACCGTAGGCTGCTGTCAATGAGGAATACTGTTAAGATTCTGGGCTGGAGCTATCAGAATGATGAGACTTAACTGATAATTAATTTAGGGGCAAAGAGGAAGGAGGAGGAGAATGAGTCCAGACAGTGATGTGATTACCTAGGGAACATTGGAAAAGAAGGGCCTTTTCTCAAAGAGGGAGAAAATGTGGAGGTGGTTTTAAATTGCTTGTTTTAATTGAATGTTTTCCAGGATTTAGCCATCAAGTTCTATTTTCTTTTTGAAACTACATGTAAACTGTGTTAGGGAGCCTCCCAAATCAAAAGGGGGACTACAACTTAATGTTTCTGTAGCTTTAGTATTTTAATGTTTGTGCCTCTATTGTCTAAAATAAAAGACAACAGTTTCTTCAGTTTAAAGAAAATCATCCTAGTGAAAGCACCCTCCTCAGCAACATGAAGAAAACATATTCTAATGTTTGGATTCCCCAAACAGAAAGTTCAGAGAAAATATATCAACTTTATGCAACAAAGTGAGATATAGAACTAGAGCACTAATCAAAATTGCACATTAAATACATGGACTTCAGAAGAGAATCATTCAAAACAAGGAGCAGAATTTTCTGTCTGAACAGCTCAGACAGTGGAAACAGCTATCAAAGGAGAACGTGGCTTTTATGTGCTATGTAACAGAACAAGCAATGCAAATCATGTCATTTGAAAAATTTGTATCCACTGCAGAATTCTAGATTTCCTAGTTAGAATCTGAGCAACTCTGCAGTGTCCCTGGAAGTCCCATCTAACACACCTGACGAGGAAGCTTATTCACCGATCGCAAGTAGTCTTTGTCCAGGATGCAGTTCCCAAGCGCATTACCAAAACACCTAGTAAATAAGAGATTTTTATTATCTTTTAGCTGGTGGTTTCTTGTTTTCATAGCCCTCCTGGAACAGCCATGCCAGCAAAATTACTGCATACTGGTTACCACTTACTTCAGTGCTCTTTTCAGCCCATCTGTAACTGCCTCCTTCCTTGCTTTTTCCAGAGACAAGGCCTTAGATTTCAAGCCTTCACTTACTCCATAGCCCACATCTTCATGATAGGACCCGTCCTGAAATTTGAATAGAATGTTCAATACCAGCTATATGGCACTTTGGCTACAGGTGTCTTCTATCTTCTCCATGCTTGCTTTTCTGAAAAACATGCCTAATGGGGTACTGCATAGTTTTCGAGGAGTCCACAGGCACTCAGGTGTAAATCTAACTCTAGCACAGTCTGATCCAGTCTTCAGAGTAAGTCAAGCCCGAACCTGGAAGCTGTAACCAAACTGCTAGTCCAGAAGGGAGGATAAACGTAATGTTATTTTCAAGCAATACATTGTTGGAAATTATACATTGTAAACTATACAAACAAGGATTTTCTTTCTACATAACCTTAGTTCCTGTTAACAAAAAAAAATTAAGTGATCCTTGTGTCCAGCAATGACAGCTCAGACAGTGGAAACAGCTATCCAAGGAGAATGTGGGGTATTTTGTGTAACGGGATATTTTGTCTAACAGGAAGTACCATCTCAAGCCATATTGTAAAGTATATTTAATTGATTATAAATTCCTGTAATCTCTAAAGTGCCCCTATTTACCTTAAGCTGGACTTTTACAAAGGCGCAGACACCCACATAGAACTTGCCATTATTTAGATCCACAAAATCTGTGCAAGAGAACAAGAAAAAGTGACAGCAGTGATTAAAGACTAAGGCTGGCTGGGTTTTCGGCACAAAAAGGCTGCACTAGAAACCTCTGCCATAATGTAATTGGGATCCAAACTTCAATTCACATGCAACAGTGGATTTTTCTTTTGTTTTTAAGAGAAAAGGAAATTTACTCTATTAGCTGATTTTCAAAAGTAGGTTAATTTCTGCACACAGTTTAAGGAATAGTTTTTGCGTTTACCTAATGATATTAATAACATTTGCAAGTACAAGCACAGTATGTAATGTGGAATGTACAGCATTTAAATAAAAAACACTGATAGACTAACATGACAATGGTGGCAACTGGCCCTGAAAAGAACTTTGGTGGAAGCGTAGAAGAACCTGAGTTCTGTTCAAAGAGAAAAATATTAGAACACCATGCACAAGAAATCCTCCAGGAAAATTCTAGAGACACTCCCAACCATGTATTTGGCTCCTAAACTACGCATTTTGTGGGTCTGCAAAATATTATTGAGGCAGTACAGACCAGGAACTTTAGCAGGCCTCTGAATCTTGTATGGGGGTGGCCCGTATTTCTGACAACTGAAAATTCGATTAATACCCTTAAGCAGTTATCACCCAGGTGCCCAAGGCTGTTGACATGTTTTGATAATATCTTAAATTCCAACAGACATCATACAAAAGGAAAAAGACGTAGGGAAGAACAAAATAAGCAAACTCAGATAATCAGCTCTTATATAATGTCTACAGTTGCAGTGGCCACTGATGGAGGCAGTTCTGGGAGGGAAGGAACAAAATGGCAGTTGGTTCCAGTCAAATTGATCACAGGTATTGTAGAGCCTTCTCCAAGGGAAACCTGAAGAACTGTGGTTTCAACAAGGTACCCATCAGCCTGGCTATACAACATTTTCTCTCTTTTTTTAAAAGAAGGCCAACAGCTTAATTAGTAATGTTCTAACTTAAGACAGAAATTGACAAAGCCCAGGCACTCAGTCACCCTGGCGCAGGGGTGTCATATATGTGGCCCGGGGGCTGGAAGTTCTTATCCGGCCCACAAGAAACTGGTGTGAGAGAGGAAAGGAAGGAGGCTGCTTTGGGGGGGGGGGAGCAGGCATGCAAGCACACACGGTGAGGTGTGTGTGGTCAGAGCTTTTAAGAAATGGAAGGAAATGGCTAAGGGGCAGATATGGCATCCCTTGCGTAAAAAAAACTAGTCTTGCATAAGATGAAACACTTATATTTTGAGTGTCACAAGAGTCTGACCTCCCCCCCCTTGTTGTCACTGGATTCTGGGTGTTCCAGACGCTCAGCCACCTTGGAGTCTCTTCCCTCAGGGCAGCAGAGGCCTCAAACCCGAGCGGGGGAGGGAGGTTGCGCCACCACACCCTACCAACCCACTCCTTCTGGAGGGCTTGCTTTCAGTCTCTCTGGGCGTGACTCCGCCGTCTCCAGGTCATCCTCCTGGCCTCTGCTGCTGCCCTGCTTTTATCCCCTCCCTGCTCCCCCCAGCATTCCCTGGCCCCACCCCCATATTTAGCTGGAGCGGCTTCCCTCACAGGAGTCGCTTCGCCTGGGCCGGCTCCTCTCGGCCTCTCTTCTCTGGCCCTTCCAGGTAAGTGGCCCCAGGTAAGTGGCAAAGGGCCCGGGGAGGGGCCTTTGGGTGGCGACGGGAGGCCTGCCGGCAGTGGGGGGGTCGAGGACGACCCGTCAGCGGGACAGTAAGAAAATAATATTGTTAATTGGGTTTGCCTGTGTCATTTAAAAGTTATATCTCTGGTACCTGGCATTTCATTTTATGGCAGACATGTCCCAGCCTGACAAAGTAACTTTTATGTCAGATCCGGCCCTTGTAACGAATGAGTTTGACACCTTTGCTCTAGCGCCTAGAAATTTCATTATGGCATCTCATGTTTTCAACAATGATTCAATTGTATCATTGCTTGTAAATACACAGTAGAAGCAGAAAACATGTACAATTTCTCACCAGAATGTTTCGTTGTGTGCCATAAAATGTATTGTTTGTTTATACATACACTTAACTTTAACCTAGTCAGTCGCAGTGGATGGATGGTCGTCTTAGCCAGTAGCTTTTTAAACTGGCTCCAGTATTCAACTAAATGGATCTTTTAAAAGTAATACTAGAATTGTGAGAACTTGCGAAGAAGTTAGGTTAGAGGTTAGCTTTTTGTTTGTGGTGATTTCAGCTACCCCTGTATGAGATATCTAATTCTGAACAGTGGCCACAGAATGCAAATCAAATACATACCTGTCCCTATACCCTCATTAGCAGGTAGGTGTCAGTCATTGGCAAGAGGCTTTAAGCAAGAAGTGTGAAGGCAGCCCTTTCTGCTTCAACCTTCCCTCCCCCCAGCTGATTGGGGATATGGCCAGCAGGAGGGTAGAGGGAGGAGGAGGAGCTGACTGAGGAGTGGGAGAAAGGAAGGAAACAAAATGGAGAACAGGGACTGATGGGATTTCACTTGTAATTTTGGGTCCCCTGCTTAGTTATGTATATGCTACAAAACTTTTGCCATCTTTAATAAAATTACAAGAAACCTTGAAGATGCTAGGATTAGAATTGATGTTAGGAATAATTAGAAAATATAGTCATTCAAATTCAAAACCTGAAGACTGAAAAATAAGCTTCACTCTTACATTTTTGGGTTAGCTGGCTCCCAGAACCAAGAAAAATCTGTCAAGGCTTGACTTACAGGCAATAACTACATTCGAAAGGAAATACCACTTTTCATAAGAGCACACAATGGTTCTGTGGACTGGTGTATCTAATGTCTCTGTTTTTTTGACTGACCATGGTAGGCTTTGACAAAACAAATTAGATGTGTAGGAATCAATTCTCCCTCTAAGGACTGGAGTCTTGTGAGCAACAATTCTACTTTGTGAGCTACTGGCATTCAAGTTGTGAGCAAGCGATTTGGCTGCTGCATAAATCAGTTTGCTCTGGAGCTATCCTTCCTGAGCTAAGCCAAAAATGTGTGAGCCGGAGGCTAAGAAACTGTGAGCTAGCTCACACTAACTCAGCTTAGAGTGAACACTGTGTAACATCAGGGCATCCAGTGACTTGTGGGGGGGGGGGTTTCACAATGTCTTTTCAACATAGCAAGAAGGTTTAGGGTCTTGTCTCAACAGTGAATTTTTTAACAGGACTGGGAAAGTAGGGAGGAATAATGGCAGAGGAAGATACTGAAGACAGCACTGGATGCAAGTCAGCAGGTATTGCAAAATATTAGTGTACTTCAGCAAATTCGATTTTTTCACAGGGAACTGTATTGCAAGAAATCAGGCTACAAAGAAGGCTAAGTCAGCAATAAAAGGTAGGTCTTTGGAAGGATAAGTTCCACACGGACAAAAGATGACTTGGTATACTAGTATTCAGCAGATGGGTTGTTTTTTAGTCATGGCACTTCTGGGGGTGACAGGTAGGGTTCCCAAGTACTTACCGCGATCAGGCGGGGGAAACATGCTCCCCGGCTGAACCATTCCTCCCTGTAACGCACCATGCCGTTGCCAGGAAGTGACGCTGGGTGACGCTCTGGCAATGGGGCTGAAAACTCGATGGTACCATTGAGTTTCCAGCCCCATAAGCAGAGTGTCGCCCAGCGTCACTTCCTGGCGATGGCATGGTGCGGCATGTCTGTTGTCCCCGCGGGAATGATCCTGTGAAGACGTCTGTGTCCCCCGCCGAATCACGGTAAGTACTTGGGAAGCCTGGTGACAGGACTACCACACTGATGAACCAGCTTCAGTTCAGGAATGCAAATACAACCTTAATAAATAAGTATCTGGCAAGATCATCCTTACCACAGTGCCCTCATAGCCCACTCACAGCCTCTCAGCTGTGGTGGGGTTTATGCTTCAAAAAGCCATTTGTGAAGACCTCAGTCAGCCCTCAACTCAGGAATTGGAAATCTGCAAACACAGTGTTCGCTATTTCATTTCATTAACATGTCAATTATATTTTATCTCTTCTTTGAGAACCCTCGGCATGAGGCTGTTACAACATGAGTTTTGGTCAGGTGCTCACCAACATTCTGCTGAGTGACTGAATGAGCCCAGCCATTGTAACCAAACATCTCATTGGCCAGACTGACAACTCTATGTCCTTCAATGTAGCAAACCTGAAAGGAGAAAGAAACAAACTGTTATTTTGTATAGTAGCTCAAATGCATTGGATTTTGAAAATCCAATTAATCTTCGTGGCTTCTGTGCAGTCCCACATGCAGCCACAGAGTGCCCCTCCTGCCTCTGACGCTTTACCGCCAGAACGATCACATGGGACCAGGAGAGGCACTACTCCCTCAGTTCTCTTTTTGCCAACATGGAGGATATCCCCAGCTGTTCAGTGCCACTTTATGTATCATGGCTGTCTTCAAAAGAGTGCTGTTTTTTCTTGGCCACGTTCCCACATGTATTTCAGTTGGGAGTCAGGACACTTGCAGAGAGCTCCGTGCTCCGTTACAAGGCAGTTCTGGGTGAAGGTCATTATGTGATGCTAAGCAGCCATTAAGAAGACGGTCCTCCATGGTCTCTTCCTTTGAGAGATTCACACCCACCTCCTTCACTCAGTGAGCTTGTTCATCTCCCCATGTGGGACTTCATAGAAGCCACGAAGATAAAAACGGGGTTGCACTTACCTGTAACCATTTTTCATGGAGTGGTCTTCTGTGCAGGCACACATCCCTCCCTCCTGCCCCACTGTGAGCTCTCTTCGCTTCTTGGGGTCCCCGGTGGCGGCATGGAGAGAACTGAGGGAGTAGTGCCTCTCCTCCTGGTCATGTGATCGTTCTGGCAGTATAGCGCCAGAGGCAGGAGGGGCACTCCTAGTCTTCTAGAAAGCTTGGAAATCTTTTCCGTGGCTGGCCTGCGACTGTGCAGTCCCCACGTGTGCCCGCACAGAAGACCACTTGATGAACAATGGTTACAGGTAAGTGCAGCCCCATTTTCTGATATATTGTAGTCTTATTATTTTCATGAAGAATCTCAGGTGTCTCTGTATACCCTTGCAACACACATTCAAAGATAGGAACATCATAACAAAAAAATGGAATGTAGCACATACATACAAAATAGTAAAGGTAAAGGTTTCCCTTGCTCGAACGCCAGTCGAGTTCGACTCCTGGGTTGCAGTGCTCATCTCCGTTTCCAAGCCGAAGAGCCAGCGCTGTCCGAAGACATTTCTGTGGTCATGTGGCCGGCATGACTAAACGCCAAGGCGCACGGAACGCTGTTACCTTCCCACTGAGGTGGTACCTATTTATCTACTTGCAATTTCTTGCTTTCGAACTGCTAGGCTGGCAGGAGCTGGGACCGGAGACAGGAGCTCACTCCGTCATGCGGCACACTTGGGTCTTGAACTGCTGAACTACCAACCTTCCAGCCTGCAGTTCAGCGTCTTAACCACTTGAGCCATCTTTACTTTTATATACAAAATACCAGAGTTACCAAGTATTTTCCACATTTACAGTATTAACTGGGTAACAAAGTCAATTTAATATATGTGTCTCATACTGAGAGAATACCACGTAATAAACTGATAACAAATTAACTATGCCTGTACTGTCTGCCGATTCACATAGGAGTGATACTATGGAGCATCAGGTGTGTGTGGGAAATACGTATATGTATCAGATCATTACAAATATGATGCAATTGGCATGGGATTATATAGCAAATCACATACCTCTAAAAATGTTTTTCCTGTACTATGCTTGCTGCTTTTTTTAGATCCTTGGTAGGCAGTAATGGGCTAAAGGTTCCCCCACTCCCAAAGTACCATGGCCACAGCTGCCTATCCTTCTCCACAGACACTTTCTTGACTTTATGTTAGGGGCCTGACAGTAACCTTCAGGACTCTGAATTTGGCCTTTGAGATGTCACTGGTGTATCTCTCTGCTTTAGATCGTGTAACTCCTAAGTAAGGGCAGAGGAAGTATTCTCCCCAAAGGATTCAAAAAGATTAACCCTAACCCTAACTATTCACACTAGAATATTCATAGTAAAAACCATTAACTTGCTACCAGATAAAAGCAATCTATGCATGTTTATACCTTCTGTCCTCCACCAGCTTGTCGGCTGCTGATGTATTCTGGGCCCAGTCTCTGCCGCAGGGCAGTCTGGATGGCCTGGTACTCATCTGCTGTATACCGACACTTAAAAAAAAAAAAAAAGTTAAGAAGTTGGCAAATCTAGGATATGGTACAAATTTTGCTCTGTCCTAGCTTTCTCCCCATTTCAAGATTTGGTACAATCAGGATTTTTTTTTTTTTTTGCCTCTCTTTGCCTTTCTTTCTTTCAATCCAAACTCTTTGCCTCTCTTTCAATCCAATCTTAGTCGTAATTACATAACGAAGAAAGGAACGGTTTTACCATACCTCACAAGATACCTATCTCCCTTATGATGATACCACATATTGTTCCAATGACAGACAGCTAAAATAAAGGGAAAAAAGCATGTGGCACAAATTCACAAGTATAATTAAGATAAATTAAAAGCTTAGCTCAACTGGCAGCATTTATTTTTGTTCTAGACCCAGGGCCAGGTTGCAAAAATAATGGAGGAAATGCAAGGCAACGTAGTAGACTTGTAGCATACTTTAAACAATCCAAAGGAAATTCTTAGGTAACTTGAATGGTTTTCCAGTGCATGGGGGGCCAATAGGAAGTTAAGAAACCATACAGCTACCTTAATTGTACTAGCTGAGAGCAAAACAATGCATTCATTGGTAGCGTCAGTGGTTCAGACAGAGCTTGTGCCAACATCCTGTGCTTCTCCTTGGAAAGGAATGCCTCATACTGAAAAACATGGGTCTGTGGTAAACACTATATAACTTATCTACAGCTGCCAGAAGCTAGACATGCCATGAGGGGGGAGAACAAACTCTGCAGCAGCCACCCCACTGAATTAAAGAGAGAGGAGTCTTGCACTGCTTTTATCACATGCTTCATCTGATTAAGGGATGGCTACTAAAAATGCCTCTATGCCCCCAAAGTCCTATTTTGTTACATAACAGACGCCCTGCAGAACCAGACCAGTGATCCATCTAATCCAATATCCTGTTTCATGCAGTGGCCAACCAACTGGGCCTCAGGGCACTGTCTCCTGCTGATCCTAGCACCAGTATCCAGAGGTTAGTGACTCTAGATATGAAGATTCTTTTTAGTCATCATAGCTCGTAGTCATTGATGGAACCATCCCACTTTGATCTGTTTGTGAGATGATAAGTTGAGGGATGGTGGTAGAACAAGGGATGGAGGTGATTCTACATTAACAGTACAATCCTAAGAGAGGGGGCTGAAAACGCTCAAGAAGCCAACCGACCTTTGCGTTGGCATATGTCCGAGATACGCCAGTGTCAGGGCCAGTTACGACGGCGCAGGATCCCAACGCTGCTCCGTCACTCTTGGGTGCTGGTGGAGGGCCACAGTGGCTGCCCGTTGATCCCACTGAGGGATAGGCCCCTGTGCCAGCGTGACTGTGGGTGGTTTTGGGGGCATGGCTAGAGTTAGTTGGCCCCCTGATCCTTTCAGCCTGGGAACGCCCCCCACCACCAGAGGGGGAAAGTTACATGAACAAAAAACACGACGTGTCCCATAAGCACCAATTGAACTGAAAACTCAAGTCATCCCCCCACCACTGCAGCCTTGCCAATTAGGCTCAGAGGAGCTCAAGATGCCAACCATAGGCTCGGCCAATCACCGCCCTCCCAGGGTGGCCAAGCCCCTTTCCCAGCACCCTATCGTGCCCCCCCTATAAAAACTTCAGCCAGGACATCTTACAACTCAATAGTTAGGGAACGCAGCATGGGACGCTGTCTTGGAGCTCCCTGCCGTACACTTAGAGCAAGCGTCAAGGCACTTTGGTGGTGGGAAAAGCACAGATATGGCACTTAGCACTACAGGGTAAGCATTTAGTGCTAACACCCAAAGAGGAGAGCAAGGTCCATACTCTGTGGCTGACCTCTCCCATTTCAGAACCCTAACAGGTACCCCACCTTTAGAGGCTCGAACCATAGGGGCAACCATGCACTGACAGGTAAGCAAAAGCAATGAACCCAAACCTGCTCCCCCACTCCCCTTGCTTGAGGCTGGGTGCCATGACAGCATTTCCTGCACTCAAGACCAGCACTGAGCCACATGCAGGGGTGGCACAAACCCCTGACATGCCATGGGAAAAGATTCCAGGAAAGTCTCCTGAGAGATCTTGGAGGGGGGAATGCTCTGTCATTTGCCTGGTTCCCACCCTTGGCAGAGGACAGGGTGTGTCTGTGGTTGGGGGTCTTGCCAGCTGCTCCACTATACATGGCGAACCAGCATGCCATGTGACCCTTTAACTCATTTCCTTGCAGAATCAGAGCCTTGAGCAGCAGCTGCAGGTGCTGCTGTGGATGGACTGTCAGCAATCTGGGAGCACTTCAACACAGGACAGGTGAGTGTGAAAGCTGGATGGTACCATCTTGTGCCTCAAGGGGGGTTCGTGGTGAGGGGCCCCCTCCATGAGGCTGCATTTGCAGACCCTGTTGGGAAAACATATCCATGGCTGAGTCTGGCATGACACTTGTGGCCGGTTGCCATGACTCTGTTTTACTTGCCTGCAGGCGGAGATTCAACAGGGAGAGTTGTGGGTTTGGCAAGTCCCACCTGCTCCCCCCCCACTCTGCTCAATCCACTGTTCCAGTCCTCCTCTTGAAGTGGAGCGTAGCACTCGGCCAGCCCTTTTGAGTTCCACCTGCAATGCCATCCCACTTAGAGGCATGCCATGTCTGGGATCCTCAGTCCTTTCCCCCATGGCCCCAGGGAGGAAGCAAACGGAGTCTTCACACCTTGCCATGGTTTGCAGTACAATAAAGTCTGTGTTGTGCCACAAGTGTGTCTCTGCTGTTTGGTTTTGACTACACGACAGGAGCTCCACACCCTTCCCTGCCCCACTCCCCACCCCATCTGTCACTCCCCCGACAGCTTCCCGAGGACATGTCTAAGAGGGAGGGCTCTCAGGTGCTGCGGGTGGCTGTGGATGGCTGTGCAGGTCCCACTGGTCACAGTCATCTGCCATACATAGCAGGGGCCAGCAGCACAGACAGATTCCCCTGCCTCACC